GCAGGTTTCCTTGCCGCTTGCAATCATAACACATGCTGTTTCTCGTTTATACTAGTTAAGAATCTTATGGTGTCATAGTCCATACGCAACCGCTGAGTTGTTCGATGAACTGAAGGTGAGTGCGACTTTCTTTCTCTGGGCATTAATTTTCCAGCGAACAGTAGTTTAATAACTTTCTGGACTGTTAGCCTGAGAAAACTGCCGACATTTCGCAAAGCTACCACTGGTTTGCCCGCGAAATGACGTCTGAGGAACGTGCGCAGAAATTCTATACTGATGACATGTCACTACCCAGAGCTGGCTGGTGCTTCCTGTTGGTCGCACCGCGAGGGAAATCTGCTTCGCCAAAACAAAAACACTACCCAGATCTGGGTAGTGACACGTTATCAGTATGGAATTTTTGCAGTTGTTCGTCAGACGTCATTTCGCGGGAAAACCAGTGATGGCCCCGCGAAATGTCAGCTGTTTTCTCAGATTAAAGGGCTGTTAAAAACAGACATATTCACGATATATTTTTTTTATTGATTATTAGGCAAATTATCCTGAGCCTGATGCAAGCACAGCCATGTCGATAGGATCCGAGGATACTTCAGCTGCTTCAGACATCACATACAACATGGGGCCACAGGTACAGTAACGTTTTAAATTTCTCTTGGGACGTATGTTACATCCGGGATACTTACGAAAAATTATTTGATTTGGGGGAGGGGAGGGGGGAGAGGGAGTATTGGGTGCTTCTTGGTGTTGTGGAAACCATTGTCGGTGTGGGTTTTATTCATCGACTTTTCAATCTTTTGTATTAAGTCATTTGGTGATTGCTCCCGTTCGAATGATCCCCACCTACCCCTCCCCTAAGTCAACGATAGCACTTACTTCTCTCTTAGGGCAAAATGTTAGCTTAGGGGAGGGGTAGGTGGGCAGTTTCCCAGAAACGTATAATGATCACGATGTTTGTTTAAAATCCCTGTATGGTTTGATTGCAAGTTGGTTTAGCGTTTGTCTGTTACTTTAAGTAGCATTGCGCTATACAGAGGATAAGTATTAGAGAAAGCAGTTGCGTTATCCATTGGATGGAGATTCATTTGGTAGATAGCATTATCTACCTTTTAAACAAGTGGCGCCAGAAAAGCTATCATCACTTACTCGCATGTCCTTTTCTCTTCTATTGTCAAGGACTTTATTCTGAAACTTCCTGTTATTAACTTCAAGAACTACAGGTACAGACTCATAACATGACAACTTCTTTTGTAGCTTTATTCTTTATCGTCACATCAAACGGATTCTCCGTAACTGCTTTGCTTTGTCCCCAGGCCTCATTATCCCGCGCGGCCTATGCATTTCGGGTCACGTGGCTACGAGCGAATTTAATGATCGAGAAAGCTTGGAAAGAAGCCAGACAGGAACTTGGTACCTAGGTTATTCAAGGCAATTAGCAAAGAAACATTGAATCACATACTGGCTTCTGAGAAGAGTCTAAACCGCCAGCATGAGATGGAATATCACGTCATGAGATTAGTAGCAGTCCTTCACAATTGACGCGTCGGCGAGCATGTTACGAGCGAGCGACTAAGTCGTCTCTCCCCAGGTTGCCTCTCGTTTCGCTCGCTCTCCATTCCTTCCATTCTGGTAGCTATAGAGATCATCGTTGTGTCGCTAGAGAGAACTGACCTTTCGTTAACTTCTGCCTTCTTTTCAGATTTATTATGAAAAACGTGACAAACATTCAAGAGTTGTGTCAGTTATCAGAGGAGAAACTAGCGAGTATCTTGGGGAACACTGCTGGTGCGAAACAACTGTGGGAGTTTATCCACACTGACGGCAGGAAACAAACAAAGGCTCCGCAAGTCTCAGTTAGAAACAAACGATAACACTGATAAAACTGAGGTAATTTAATTACAACTGTTGTTCGTTATGCTCACAACTTTGTGTGCTTGTAATCCGCTATAAAATTCCAACAACAAAACTAAAAAAGCGAAAGCAACGGCAACTAGACGTTCTATATGCATATAATAAAATCTTTCATTTGAGTAAGTCGTTTGTCTTAAGTGAAAGTGGATGTATTCAGTTCTAAGATCGAGGCTGTTTTTCTTGTAAAACCAATGACCCAAACTGTTCAAACTAAGTTAACTGAAAATCTGACTTTGCAATTGTTTTATTTTATAATTACCAATATTTTACCTCTGATGTTTTTTAAAAGGTCAATTCTGTTGCCTTATTTCTATGAAACCTCGATTCCGTTATTCCGGTCTATTGATTACAAAAGCGCAGACACTAAAATTTATATCGTGACAGCTTCAGTCGATACTTCATTGTTCCCGGTTATCATTCATGTCTTAGATGCACCCTTTGAGGAGGGGATTAAACGAGTTAAGTTCCCGATTGGGGCAGTCCAATACACTCAACTATATTCCAGTGGTCAAAAACTGGATTCCACTAGAGTAACTAGAAGCCGGTAGTGAAGTGAAACAGGAGGTACTATTAACCCCTATTTAAGGAGGGTTGCAAACTCGTCTGTTGGAGTCCACTGGAGTTACCGGAAGTTTAGTCGAAACAAGCACGCTAGTTGTGTATATGCTCCGGGGAGAATTCGAACAGACCGTGGTTCTGCTGCATGTTTCTCGCATACAAAGCTGTTAAGGTATTTGCCATTTTTACATATTTCATTTCCGTCCCTTTACATTTTTTGATATACTTCGTTTTCCCGCGGTTTAGGAAGCCCGATGGAAGGCGACATTAGCATAATCTTGTCTCGTTTTAGGCATCATCATGATCCCTATCTGGGTTCTTGATTAGAGATTCATATTCTGAATCTCTTGTCGTTTGCTGAATTTGAGTGGGCTGCAGCTCCATATAAAATGATTCCACTTTAGGAGACGGGACTTCTGCATCGCCCAAGGTGGAAAGTTGTTGCAATTTTATCAAAGTAGAGAAGAAAAAGGAAGAATGGATATCTTAACAAATTAATGTTAGTCTGTTTTGTTTTTATTTTATTTTTTTCTTGGGGGTGGAAAGGTGGAGTTCTGTCGTCATTACAAAACAAGCCCACAGACATCAGACATAAGAGGTTTATTATTACCTTTTTAATTCATTTGTTCATGTATTAATTTTCATCCCTGTGGCTATTTTACTCGCACAAAGTGCTTAGCGGCAAATGTAATTTTTTTTCCCCTCCATCTTCTTCCTTTTTGGTAAAGACGTTTTAAGAGAGTATCGAGCCGTGTGTCAAGTACGATCAATTATCGTTACTGACCATACCTACCAATTTCAACATGTCTACAGACTAGGGATAAGAAAGTATTTAGATGTGCCGGGTACGATTAATAAACGTTCCTGATCATACATTCCAACTTCAAAATATCCAAAGGAAGAAAGTATTTAGATATGCCAAGTTCGGTTAATAAGCGTTTCTGAGCATACCTGCCAATTTCAACATGTCTATACCCCTACAGGCTAAGGGTAGGAAAGTATTGAGATGTGCCAAGTACGATTAAGAAGCGCTCCTGACCATACCTACCAATTTAAAAAGGCTATAGGCTAGTGATAAGAGAGTATTGAGAGGTGCCAGGCACGATTAATAAGCGTTTCTGATCATACATTTCAACTTCAACACGTCCAAAGAAAACGAGTATTAAGATATACCAAGTACGATTACCACTCGTTTCTAACCATACGTTCCCATTTCAACTTGTCTACTGGCTAGGGATAATAAAGTATTTGGACGTGACAGGTGCGATTAACCGTTCCTGACCATACATTGCAGTTTTAACATGTCCCTAGGCTAGGGATAAGAAAGTATTGAGATGTGTCAAGTACGATTAATACTCGTTCCTGGCCATACCTACCCATTTCAGCATGTTAACCGGCTAGGGATAACGAGGTATTTAGATTTGCCAGGTACGATTAATAAGCGTTCCTGATCATACATTCCAACTCAACATATCCAAAGAAATAAAGTATTGAGATGTGCCAAATACTATTAATGAGCGCTCCTGACCATACGTACTAATTTCAATACGTCTACACGCTAGGAATAAGAAAGTATTGAGATGTGCCAAGTACGCTTAATAAGTGCTCCTGACCATACCTACCAATTTCAATACGTCTACACGCCAGGATAAGAAAGTATTGAGATGTGCCAAGCACAATTAATAAGCGTTTCTGACCATAATCGTCCCTGACCACATTTACCAATTTCAGCCTGTCTGGAAGTTATAGATAAGAAAGATGATGTGCCAAGTACGATTAATAATCGTTTTTGAAGGATTCTTTCCTCCTTATAGACTGTATTTCTTTCACACAAATTAATTTAAGTTGTCATTTATATGGCTATTTTTCCTAAACGAGTCATTGCTGAAGAGGTTTCATTTAAAAATTACACCATAAATAGCTTCATGCATATGACGTAGTACTGATGAAGAGGTTTAATTTGGATAGTCACACATGTAGGTTTTCGTCAAAAGATTCCAAATTTAAAACCGCGCGAAACATAAACTATACATGTGAACGTACTAATAGAAAGGTTCGATTTTCATAGCCACATCATCTAATTTTGTCCAGAGACCAATAGTTAGAACTACATGCAAAATAGCTAGCTTCATGTGAACACGCTACTGAAGAGGTTTTAATTTAAATGGTCAAACTATTGGATTTCATCGACGTACTAGTCACTGAAGTAAGATTTCGAACTAAATCAGTAAAACATAAACAAATACAGTCATGTAAACGTGCTAACAGCCGATCACATCACAGCATTTTACAAAAGAGATAAACTAGGGACTATTTTTAAAATGTCTCTATTATTGAATCTGGAAGTAAAAAGATTAATTTTAGTGCAAGTCTCAGACGATTGTAGCTTCCTGCTTTGAATTTCCGGCCTTTTCTGTAGAGTGAGCAATAGGCGTCAGTTCCAAGGCCACAGCCTGCTCATTACCATGGAATTCTTCTAGTTCTATGTCGCCCTCTCTCCCCGACGAGCCACCGTGAATCTCTGGTTTCGGCATCTATGGTCTCTCCTCTGATTCCGGATCGAATTGATCTTCCATGTCAGCTGGTAATGGAGGCAAGGGATTGTTTGCAATATTTTCACTTGATCGCCTATAAGAAGAAAACATTGCTGTTTAACCATAGTAGATTCCTATAAAATTGACCATATATTTTAGATCATGCGCACGATTATAGAAGGCAACGTTAATCACACTAAAACATTTTACGACGAGCCGATAATTCCTGTGAGACAAGATCGCAATGCTCTATTTTATTATCATTATTTCAAATCTTGATGCCAACCGCAATGGACTCGAAACATGATTTCTACGTAGCGAACGGAGTTAGATTTTCTCACTCTGAGTTTTATAGGCTTTTACGCATTAAATGTCAAAAATAAAAGGCGTTCACGGTGATTAAGCGTCTTCCCCTTAAATATTCGCCTGCCAAACTGAAAAATAAGAGTCTCCTTGAATAACAATCACCTCCATCTCAATTTTAAATTTCCCGTGCACAGCAAGACCATTATCTGTTTCCACGAGTTAAGCAATGTTATTTCTTACGTAACAATGTAACTGAGTCCCTTTCGTTCTTTGCCATGACCATGCACGTGTCTCATTAACGATATACTGTCTCCTCAGTACTCCTTTGAAGAACCTATTTCTTCCCCGAATAAGCCCCCCTTAGTGGCCAAACTAGTATATAAGCAGAACTGGCCCCACCTATCAGTTATTGAATTAACACAACATAACGTATTCATTGTCGAACTAATATTGGGAAGTTCTTTAGCCTGGGACTTGTTGGCTCCTTTATGGGTACGGAATACCGGGTATGGACAACCCAACTCGCTTGTGGCTGAACTTTTCAAGAACAAAAGCCAAATGCTTAATCGAGAGTACTAACCTGTCATAAACATCTGCTCTCGTCACAGGAACAGTGGGGTCTGAATCATGCGGCTCAAGGTAGTAATCTTTTCTGCCACGGTTGTTGTCTTCTGTTAAGTGAAGATACTCGGTCGCGACACTCTGTTGTAAAAAATAAGCCCAATATCGAAGTTTAGAATAAACATACCAGCCAGGAGCCCATAACCCGGAGCGAGCAGCTTCCATACTAGGCCTATGTCACGGCGTCTTTACGTATCAGTTTATTTTTAGACACATTTTAAGGAGCACTTCTTCCCGCGAAAATAAAATCTCCACCATATCTATGGGCGCATTCGAAGTATAAGATTTCGAAACGGAAACCTAAACGTTATTAAAAGTCAGAAAATACCATTTTTAGGTCTATAGGTTTTGCTGACTAGTTTGTGAAATTTAAAAGATATTCAAAATTCGCGCCAAAACCGTTCTAAAAATGAACTGGTTCGTGAAAACGTCGTGACACAGGCGCATGGAAGTTGCTCACTTCGGGTTATGGGCTCCTGACCAGCAAAAGATGCGCATCCCTCATAATCTTTCTTTCAATTGGCAGTCGAAATTCTCTGATCTTATAGAATCGTAAATTTTTATCTGTATAGCTTTAGCATCTGCATTGGGTCAGTGTAAAAAAAAAAACAGCATGCAGCTCGTGTTATATCATTCCATGGCCGATCTACGGGAGGGGCCAAGTGGCCCCGGGAGGCCGGGGCTCCACCTTCTTTATAGGCCAAACTTCAGTCTACGGGACTAAATGAGTGGGTCCCCCACTAAGTTAGAGATTTGAATCCGCCACTGTCATTGCAAATATGGTAATTTTTTAAAGAGCACACAGTATAAGTCATCTCTTCATATTCTTCCTGCAAAGCTTAATTTCCGCTCGCCCCATCAGAACAAAGGATACATACACTCAAGAGAGTATCCCCTTTTGATAAACTTCATTTTTTCCTTTGAAGGACCTAGTGTACAATAAGGTCTGACAAGAGAGAGGATAAGTTTTCTTAGTTCCTCCTTTGCCTCAAAACAGTAGAAAAAAGGCCTCACCTGGGAAGCCTGTTGCTCAAGTATTGTACCAATCGACTGGCTGATTTGATCAAATTTAGGTCGCTTGTCGGGTCCTTCCTGCCAGCAATCTTGCATAATTTTGTAGATCTCCGAAGGGCAGTCTCGGGGATTTTCCATACGTTTTCCATCATTGAGAAAGTCTAGGAGCTCTTCTACGGGTATAGCGGGATACGGTGTGCCGCCCAGTGTAAAGATCTCCCACAAGCAAATACCAAACGACCATCTGCATTATTAATGTCAAGGTTCAAAATATACACACTCGAAGGGTCATCATAGCTTGGGTCATTCCAAACCAAAAGGGTGTCAATAAAGCTCTGTAAGCTGTTTAAGCTAAACTATGGACTCGAGGAAACAGATGGTAAGCTGCTATTAACGCCACTAGAAGGGAATTATTGGAATCAAAACTTACATGGCTTGCATATGAAGCGCTATTTTCAAGAATCGTTATCAGTAGTATTCTTTTTCTTTCGAGTACTGTTTATAAAAAATGGAAAACGTTATCTGCTGTGTTTACATGCCCTGATATAAACACGAGATTCGGGTGTTGGGAGAATTTAAGAGAATTCGTACAAATTGCAAACCACAGAAAAACAGTTTTCTGCTAAGGTGCTTTTATAGCGGCAGCTTTCACGAGAAAAAGTTCCTACCTAGCTCTTTGTTTATGGCGCTGATGAAAATAGCAGTTCTTACTAGTTGCGAAGTGTTGTATCTACACGAAGTTTTGTACGTGTAATCAGTACGTTTTTGTTTTGCATTTACAATAAAGTTCAGATATAACGTGCGCTCTGATTTGCTGCAAAAGCGTGCTTTATGAGAGTATAAAACATGTGCTGACGACACTCTTTTGCTTTAAAAAAATAATATTGTTTTGAAAATTAAAAAGGAATGTGCGGGGAATTTAACGGATTCTTTATATTTATAAAACAAATAAAGAAGTCTTGACTGAGCTCTATACTGTTGTACTACTCAAGACGTAGAGAGAAACACTCGACTACATCTCGTGTTGCCCCCTACACTTCTTTCGTGTTCTAGCCGCTGCCAGTCGTGCGTGCTTTACAACGTACAGAACAGAGCACAGTCAAGGCTTCTTTATTTGTTAAAAAAGCTGATATTTTAAAGGACCGATTGATCTTCCTTAAAATGTCGTCTTGAGGGTAAAAACTTTGATTTAGCATGTTTTAAAGATTTCTCAAGTTCCATGCCTCTAAGTTATGGGTTAATAAAGTAAACTTGTCGAGTTTTTCAAACCATGGTTGCGTGGTTGCGTTTAACTGTGTTACTCGCATGCAAACATACTTCTCAGCCAATCGGAGAGCGCCTACCAAACTATGTTATGGCAAGTTTAACTTAATTGCAGCAATCAAAAGGCCAGCTTCTTTTTGATTTGAACGTCTAGTTACGCACTAATTATATAGTTGTCAGCCTTGAGTACGATCGCCGCATATTTTCATATTCTCCCTACATTCATTTTTTTAAAATGTCATTTGTACTTACACATCACTTTTCTCTGAGTACTCCCTCGAAACCAATGATTCTATCGCCATCCACTTCATTGGCAAAACACCACTGCTTGTCTTCACATATAAGTCACTCTTGTAAATATTTCGAGCGAGACCAAAGTCGGCGATCTTCATGACGTAGTCTTCTCCAACAAGAACGTTTCTGGCCGCCAAGTCTCGGTGAACACACTATTAACAGATATGTTTTGAAAAAAGAAATGCAAAATCAAGAAATCAGAAACGAAGAGATCATAATAATATTAATAATAAGTCCGCTAATTTTAGAAAGTCGATAATGGGGTGAGCTTGAGCTTGTAAATTAGTGTTTTATGATCTTAGTTTTAATATTTTTTTTTTCATCAAAATTTTAGTCTATGATACTGAAATGTAAATTGGTCATATGTTAATAAAGATTTTTGCTATTTTAAAAAGTAATAATAATAATAATAATAATAATAATAATAATCACAGTAAAAACAGGAAAAACAATTACCAACAGAGAAGTGCACACGCTGCCGAAATTAAAAGTAACTAAAGACTAAACATTGTTAAACAATGCTCTTCACTTACTCTGGAACGCTGAATTGTCAGTGAGAAACCAACGCTACAGACACTTACGTCTTCGCTTCTTTCGCTCCCGGTTCATGACTGATTTAATGTCACAGCTGTTGGCACGCTTCTGAGTTCCCGTAACCTTTTCTCCTACATGTTGCTTTTTCTAATCCTTTACGCGAGCTTTGTGCTACTGAGGTCTCCTCTCTCTGAGTTACTTTTTACCACTTATTACTCATAATAAACTCTTACAGTGCGAATACTCGAAGCTGGGCTTTTGGAAATAGATTATCCAAATACAAATCATAATAATCATGGCGGTTTTTGAAAACAAAAGATTCTCATTGAATTTGCGGGCTAAAGCCTGAGAGGTCAGGTAAGTCCAAACGGTTTTTAAGTTATCAACAGTTTCATAGTTGCACATTGGATTTTTTTGGTCCGTTTACATTAACAGAGAATCTCTTTTTTTAAAAAAAAAAAAAAAAAAAACCGTAAGTTCAAACGATTTGATTGGATTTTAATCTTTCAAGCGCCCCGGTTCAAGTAGTCATACTTTGTTAAACGCGAAAAACCAACAAATAGTCGCAGATTTAGCTAGATTTAGAGTCGAATGAACGATTTAAATCATGATAAAACTCCTTGAAGCCAAACGGTGAAAACAAGCGAGTGCTGGAGAATAGACCTTTTTAGCTTGTATGTTTTGTCTTCCCTTTTCAGACCACTTGATGGTACCCCAGAGAACCGTTCCTTTCAAAAGTTGTCCTTTGCTCGTGCATCCACGAGCATATGTATGTATATTTTATGTATAGACAAAACGCAAAATGCCTTGACAACATCACGTGGTGTGAAATGGGAAAATAAAACATAAGCCAAAAAGGTCTATTGCAACAAGAGCCACTACAGCTCTTGTTAGAACTGAATTTTCTTCAGAAATGTGGGAATCCTTGAACGGGACAACATTACTACATTACCTTTTTAGACGCCAGGTATTCCATTCCACGGGATATTTGGTAAGAGTAGTTTACAAGATTTGATATATTCAATCCTATCTCTGGGTCACTCGCAGTCGTAGTCCAGGTTGCTTCATAAACATCTCGCTTGCCTTGTAAGAACTTTTGTAAACTCCCATGTGGTGCATATTCCAGAATGACAAGGATACGATCTCGCTTGATACAAGCACCAAGGAGGTTAACGATGTTTTTGTGTTCTCCAACGTAAATTAGAATTTTCAGCTCTGATGCCAGGTCTCTTACTTCCTCTTTAGTAGCTCCCCCTGAAGTGCCAAAATATCGTACTCGGTCATTTTTAAAAAAGTGCAATTTCTTCAGGGGTTTAGTGGAGTCCATGTGACCATGTCACAAGCAACGTTCAGTTTAACTGGGCACAAACCTCAGCAATAGGAATGAGCACGAACGGTACTCATGCATGAGAGAGGCCCTATGCGAATTGCCCACCTCACCCATGCTGAATCCAGGGGCATGGCTGGAGTTTTTTCCACTGGTAGGCACAGATTCCCAAATCAACCCTACCCCGTCTCCCAAATCATTACCGCGCAGGTAACCTGGTAACTCGTCCCCTCCCCTGCATATTATCAGCTGCTACAGTAACTATAAACCAAATTCCTTTTTTGTCCCGCTCCACCAATCCCCGACAAGTACCAGCCATCCTTGCTCCATGGTAAATGTTACACAAGTTGAAATAGAGATCTCTTGACTTGAAACATTACCTTTAACAGTCTTTACAGCTACGGTGGTCTTCGTGTACGCACTGCCTCTGGGATCGTGGTACGCATGGCCGGTCCTGTGTTGACGAAACATGTTAGGCCACCGCTGACTTTTCTTTTGACTTTTGTCTCTGGGACTAAAGTTGCTTATTCCTATAGCCTCTGCTTTAATGACTTGTCCGAAGGCCCCTGATCCTAGCAACTCCCCAAGAATGAGCTTGTCCTCAGGAAACTCGAAATCAGGGTCATAAGGCAGATCATTACATTGTTCAAGCAGTGTAATATTAGGGTCAATCTAAAACAATCAAGAAATAATTTATTACTTAACGTATACAATGAGGACCTATTTAGTCTAAGCAATGGTAAGTTCATTCCCTCCAACTGGAAACTGTTTGGTTCATGAGTATTACCTGAATTTAGAAGGCCATTTCAGGGTCATTTCAAGTCACCTACGTTTCACATATCAAAGGAGATGACGTTAATCGAGATGAAGTTTGAGAGATGCAAATTCATTTTATTTTTGCGGTCATGTTTGAACAAAGGTTGAGAGACGTTTGCTTATAAAACCCCTCTTCTAATTTGATTGCTTTTCTGAGACAAAATTTTCACAAGTAAAAGAAATCCCCCTCCTCCGTTTTTCCGCGTTTAAAGTTGTCATTCTAGGTGTTGAATATGATCTTGGAATGGGAGGGGTGTGAAATTTACGCAGTCCAACAAACATCATTTTCAGACAAAATAAGTTGCAGAATCCAAGCAGGCACTGGTTGTTATGTAGTGGCTTCATTTTAAGCTCGTTTTACATGGTATTTTACCTGGTGTTTTCCAGTGTATATTGGAAAAAGCTGATTACGATACTCCACAATCTGCTTCCGCTGATGGCGTATAAAGCAAAAGAACGCGAACCCAAGGACGATACAGAGGAACAGGATTGCTCCAACAACAGAAAGGGCAACAGTGGCTTCCTTACTAAAAACATCTATTGGAGATAGACTTGGGTTGGAGCTGGTTGACACTAGAAAATATTCAAAGACAATATCGCTTATTGCTTCAGTTAAATTACATTATTGTGCATTCAAAACATTTCCCCAATTCTGATTGGCTAAAAGCACACGCATAATTCACCATAACCAGTTACTGATGACCATCAGAAACTTTGCCAACTTAACTCTAAACGAGTTGCTTTGGATTGCCCCTTTGTCAGGAGGGGATATCGGGACCAGACGAGGAGGAGCTGCGGTAAACAAACAAACAAACCAACAAACACTCGAGTTAAAAGACTGAAAAGCTAGATTCCACTAACAATCGAAATATCGTCTCTAACACGGGTCCCCTAAAAAGTTATTTTTTTCTTTATTCTTTATATGGGGATAATTTCACGCGCGTTTTATCCAAAATTCTACTAATTTCCCGAGCCAAAATTATTAGGATTTGAACAAAACGCAAGTGAAATTATTCTCTAATTATTTGATTACCTATAAATATCACAGGTGACAAATTATGCTCACAATCACGGGTCTTTGACATGACATCCTGTTTAATCGTATCTATCGAGAACTCCATGCGCTGAAACGTTGAGACCTTAAATTGTGACTTATGTTCATAATTTTTAGAATTTTTCGACAAAATACCTGACAGGTTCCTTTTTGGTGTGCTTTTTTGTGCGTTTATATTAAAGTGTCTTCAATGTCTGACATCTTCATTCACTACTTGAACGGTTTTAAACTTGGACGCCATCTTGGCACTGAGACGTACGAAACGTTGCAATGGTATTTTGAAATTTCACACGTAAAATTACAAATTAAAGCTGAAATTTCGCGCAAAAATTAAGAAGTAATTTGTCACCCATGATATTATTAGTTATTTCTTGTTTTGGAAGTGATCAAGGGGCAAAAAGAAACAGATACTTGTAGAAAACAAGCTTTAGTTAAGGAGTATACAAACCATCTTCTAGCGTCCGAACTTGCTTTTCAGGACCCGGTGGACCAAGAAAGTCGCCATTACTGACTGCGATTCTAATGAAATATACAGTCCATTTCGTCAGCTTCTGTAAGGTCTTATCGGTTGATGAGTCACTGACATTGACTGTTGTCCATGAAGGTTTCCCTTCTTCCTTGTATTCAATGCTGTACCCTCTAAGGGGTCCGTTTAAATTTTTGGTGCTTGGTATCTTGGATATGAACATGACTGAATTAGTGTTCAAGTAATACATCGTTAAATAATTTCTCTTCCTCCTAGTTAAACCTTGCATGCTCATACGGACATACCCGTGGTTATCTTCTAACATTTGCTTGCAAGTCACTACAACTGTCATAACTGCGAGACCAGAATTTGGAGACCGCCGCAGATTATGGTAAATATCCAGCAAGGAAACCCTCCTCCGTGCAATTGTTGCTGTTATTGTTTTTTGTATTCAGTGTATTGGTCCTTCTTCGTTCTTTTTGACATACTTGTGAATCCACAGCTATTGCAAACATACTTTATATACTTTATACCGTAGTCAATCAAGCCTGTCAAAGGTTTTTTTTATATGTATGTTTTTGTTAGCTTTTTGGGGGCTTGACGGTGCATAATTCAATATCATTTCTATCAAATCGGGATTAGTTCATTCATTCATAATTCATGAGAACAAAAAACAATTAAGGATTGTGAACTGTCACGGACCTCCCTTCATAAACAGCCGCAGAGTTATTTTTGTCTTTCCAGTGATGTTCGCGGCTTAAATAACCAGTCTCCTCCCCATTATTTATGTTTATTTTCAAACCTTTTCACAGTGAACGCCATTAAACTTTAAGATCTGAAAATGATACATTTGCGGGATTGATGCAGACAATTATCTCAAGCCGTCACTTTCTTTCCTTTGCTTACACAAAGTCGTGAACATATTAAATGAACAACGATGGCAGTGTTTACACAGAAGATGCAGTGGTTACACAGTTTTTTCTTTCTACAATGAGGAAATCTGACTCGTACACAGTCGCCATTTATGAGTTTTAGGGTAAGAGAGGATTGAGGCGTCGGAGGGGGGGAGGGGGGAGGGCGAGGGAAAGATCCGCACACCTCAATAGCGACTGGGTGATAGTCTTTGGAGAAGCATGGAAGTAGGTTTTGTTAAAATAAATCTGATGTTTACCTGCCATTTCACAAGAATTGACTGCGACGTAGGACTTGTTACACTCACGATCTGGACATCGACTTCAGGCTCTAAAAAGGGAAAGTAACAAGTAAAGTTTAGATTGATTGATACTCAATCAGAATAGCTCTGCCCTATGACCGGACGCCTGATTATTACATGAAAAATCAATGAATCAGTTTGCTTACACACCTTTATGATCATCTGTCACAGTTCTTCAGATTTTAGTGAAAATAAAAACTGAAAATATCGATTATATGTTTAGCAGTAGTCAATATTTCTTACCCGACTGAGTGGGACCGCCACAACGATGTAGTGGTCAATATTTTGGAAAAATAACGGATTATATAAATTATCATTCTCTATTATATAAACACAAATGAAATACCAGGTGAGCTTTCGCGCGAAAACTTGCTATCTTCACATGTGAAAGTAACATGTTATCTTCGCACAGTGATAATATCACCTTTGCTATGGCTACATGATAAATCGCGCCTTTCACACCAAAAAACTGTTAAAGTGAAATGGTTTGGTATTTCATTGGTGTTTATATAATAAATAGAACATTACATGGCCGCTTGGAGAAACGAAATTTCTCTACTCGTGTTGAAAAAATATTTTTTCAACACTCGAAGAGAAATTTCGTATCTCCGCGCGGCCATGTAATATCCTCTATTAGCACTGCATCTAATTTGCATCATCACTTACTGGCAGTTTTTGTTGTGAAATTCTGGAAATTACTCCACAGACTCTTTCCTAAGACACTGTCGGCTAACACCCTAACACTGTAGGCTGTGTATGGCCTGAGGTTGAAAATCCGTTTACTTAATACAAGTCCCAAATGTATATCAAGTGTAGAAGTACTATTTCGATACTCAAGATTGTAGGCAGTTACACGCATCTCATCCGCTCCAGGATTATACGACCATGTGACTAATGCTGATCTTGCTTTAAGGTCACTTGGATTAACTTGAACAACTGGCTGGCCTGGTTTCTCTGAAAACAACAAAAATGTGCCTCATAATGAGCCTTATTTATAAGTTTATGTAATACCCAGCAATTAAACGGTTGAACAAGTGACAAAATCAACGAATAAACAAACGCATTAAAAATACGTTACCCACTTGCAATACGTTAAAGTTTGAGGTATTTTTAGAAAGTACTTCCTTGTTCATCTAATACCGTTTACAGTCATGTATTGTTAGAATGCAATATTTTCGTATCCTTATAAAGGACTTAAATTATGTTAGTTATTGAAAACTGCGTGATCCCGTATATTAAATTAATTTTCACATTCACAATAACGAGCAAAAAGGCGTTCCAAGGTACGCACAAATTGTTGCTTACTTAAGGACACTATAACATTTGCAGTGGTCAGATAACTGCCTTGTATTCCAGAAAGTGATGCAGAGCATTGGTAGGTTGAATTACACTGGACTCCACTGGCTGAAGGGAGTTTTCTTGCACAAAAGTGATTGTAGATATTACTGGCATTGTTGTATGGTATGGTAAGAGAGGAGGTTGTGCCAGACAGCCCCATTCCATCTCTGCTCCAACTATACCGAGAGGGTTGTCGAGGGCTGTAACTAGACACACAGGTCAAGGTGACAGATTCAGAAGGGTCGGCTATCAAACGAACATCATCGAGACCAATGTTTAACGGTAACGAAACTTGGACTGAAAAAGACAAGCGAATAATCAATGTATAGACGACAAGAAATAACTTAGGCAAACTTATCAAATAAAATATCTCAATGTTACACTCCATTAGGTTTATTGAATCTGATTGGCTGAGAGTAATAATGCATTTTCAAGATCGAGCCGGGGTTTATAGCATCTGGGGTTTATGTCTACGGGGGGTGGGGGGGTGGGGGAGGACAGAAAGTAGATTTGATACAAATCCAAGATATATGGCCGGCCGTAATGCAAAGCGGTCGATCTCGATGAACTTGCGGAAAAATAGGGGACTGTGAACAGCCCATAGGTAAACAAAGTGCAAAAACGAGGAAATATAATTCAATTATCAACGAATGAAGCATGAAGCATTGTGATTAGCAAAAAAACAATAGAATTGTTTAATAACCAATCAGGTGCCCCAAATCTTTATTGGCCACTTTGAGGTTGCCCGTGAGACTGAGTTCAGGTGTTGTGTCGATCGAATTGCATTGTGGGGATGTTTTGTGGACGAATTTTGATCCAGTGAATTTTTGCCCGTTTGATACTTTTTTGAAAAATACAATCGTGCAAATAAATAGCAAATTGAACTCGGAAGTTGTGGGACAACCTATACAACTACTGTCTACTGGCAAAAAAGTTTGCATTACGATACAAACTTCACTCTTAAATGCAGATTCCGCCGTTTTCGACGACAGCAGTTAGCCTGCCAGTTAATGTCTCAATCCCATCTCCTTTGCGCAGGCTAGAAAGTGCTGCATCATACCAAATAGCACTAAAGTAATTATTATGCGGCTAGCGGGCAAGATGAGGCACATTCCTTGTTCTCATTGGCTAACCGAGGAAGCAAGATGGGGTGACGTGAGATGTGTGACGAGACAAAAACGGCTGCGTGCTATACTAAGATTGACAAGATTAAGCTCGTTTGATTATTCAAATTTTTACGCTTAATTTACTTTTTACCTTAAATTGCTATGTACATTTGAGCTTTTATTTTCTTTTTTAACATTCAGGGGATTGTAACGCACTTTTGATCATATTTGCATGGAAAAGGCGCGTTATAATTTTTTAATTATTATTACTATTAATTATTGGCTGTATACGGCAGCACATGTATCCCACGAATTCAAATTTTTACAAATCCTCCTCTAAGAAATTATACTTACAATCCTTACAGCCAAACAAGTCCATCCTCATACATATTGCACCAGTATGTGTTTTGGGAAATATTCTGACATATTGCGCTGCAAACGGGGAAGCAAACCAGTGGACAACAATGGTACTTCTGTCGCTGTTTCCAGTCAAATGCTGAGTGGTAGATCAAGAACAAAGTAAGTGGAGATATACAAATAATTTTATTTACAGGAGACTACATTCTGTGCGGTATATTCCCAAATCGGCTGAAGGGGAACGCTAGAGGTGATGGGAAGGAGAAATTTTTCTCCTTCCCATCACCCCTCGCGCTCCCTTCGTTCACGCTTCTCGTGACTGTGGACGAGTCAGCCTAAGCGGGGTTGCAAATGTCCGTTCAGGGGCCCCTTCCTCCAAATTCCGGTAATTACCGAACAAACAAGCAAAGTTGTCAGGGATACATTAAGCAATGAGTAAATCTTCAGCTTCAAAATAATAATCTTCTCTGTTTTATCTGTCTACTGACATTATGTCCGACAAAACGTAAGATTTAAACATTCATTAGTTAAAAGGTTGTGTGATTTTGTCTTACTCACTTAAAGTCTACTTGAAAGTTTTAAGCTATAGATGTGAATAAATCTGCATTCCTTTGAATATTTAGTACGTTAGATAGTCACAGACAGTTACTGTACAAATAGATTCATTGCGGAGCTTCAAATTACAAGCTGTAATCGGACAATATCGGACTACAAATAGACCATTTTACAGTTGTGAACTTAGTAACCTGGCCTTCGAGTGAATGTGAGGCTGACGGTGACCTTGTTTTGATACAAACCCCCTTTGCTTTGTTATGGAAATTGTCCTTGAAAAATACTAGTTAGCATAAGAATAACTTGATTTACATAATAAAGCGGAAAGGTTTGTATCAAAACAAGGTCACCGTCACCCTCGCTTCCATCCATAACTGTAAAATTGAAAAATGGGTACATTGTTCGACTCCTACAACCTACGTTTTGAGGCCAAAGATTCGCCACCGCTTGTAACAAAGCTCGCAATTGCAATATGATACTTTTCTTTCTCACTGCCCGAGGTCAGTGTCTCACCCGTGTAGCAAAATAAGACGAAATACGGTAACAGACTGGACGACGGCAACTGGACGATTGCCAATCGTGAAACTCGTTCTTTCATAAGGCTTAATAATGTCTCTCCGGAAAACTTTGCTCCAGGTAGCCAAAACGAACTCTAGAAATTTAACCGACCACAAAAAAACAACTTCTATCGCCCGCGCTGATTTCAAGTCAGGGATTGTTTTTTTCACACGAACATAAGAATTATGGAAAATGATCGCAGGTAGTGGTGGTCCTGGTAGGGTCAGGGGGAGTGGGGGAGGGGGTTGAAAAAAGATGTAAACAGCATTATAAACACATGATTTTAGGGTTTACCTCGCTGTAAAAACCTGTGAAGTTGTTCGTTTTCTGGCTATTATTTTTCTTGGCTCTACTGTGTTGACTTCTCAGTGGCTTCTTTGTATTCATTGTTTTACGTCACTCGTGAGTTTCACAGGTTTTTACACCGATGAGGATTTGTGCATTCAGAATGTTATAACGAAGAAAAAACGTAAAGGAGACAAGCCCCAAATAAGAATGTCTGGGAAAAACTCGTTGAGGTCCCTTCAAGCAAATCCAGACAGATATATGAATCCATGGTACAAATTTACCTGTCCAGTTTCGTAACTAATCCATGTTTTACCATCGTATCCATAGCGGATTAAATAATTTGTCACCCAGTTTTCCTCTATAGCATCTCCCTGAGTAGCCACGCCTGTGACTGTTACAATTTGATTGAAATCAGCCTGTAAGTACTGAGGTAGGGATGCTGAAGAGCTGCACCAACCGTGAGTACCATAAAGGCGACTAAAATCAGCTTTATAACTCCTATATTCTGAGGATGCTGTAATTGTAAAATCCCTGGTCGGTTGAAATCTTTCATTCTTAAACGATTCAAAGCAACCTGTAAAAACATCAAGAAATATATGGCATTTTTATTAAGAATTTTTATGTACTGTTTAAAAAACGAGCAGTTTCGATTATCAGGTTTTAAACCTGATAATACAGACTGCGAGTTTTTGAACGACTTCAAAATCTCTGATATAGATCAACTCATTCTTGCACTAATATTTAGCTTTGGCGTTATTTAGGTCTAAAAAATTGGACGTAAAGTTTAGCCGTGTCTTTATCAGGTATAAAGAGAGGGGCACCCAACGACGGTTTCCTCCTAAATGCATTGAAACGCTTTTTAGGCTATCCAGAGTACTTTTAGATCTCTAGAAATGTATTGTAAGTAGCGCTAAAAATTTTTATTTGTTCGGTCATCCTAGGGCAACTTGAGTCTTTTCGAAATTACAAGGGCTTCAGTATTATTTTTCCGAACACATTAGCTGCAATTTAGAGATTTACGAAAGTGAGAATTTTTCCCTGCACCGCATTTTTGGTTCCAAAAATTTTAGGTTTAACGTTCCTTTCTATTAAAAAATGACTTAACCTGGGGAGTGAAATGGAAAAACTTAACTTTAGAAAATCGTAGGGAATTTCTCAGATAAGCTTCGAAAATTGTACACGAATGGAACGGTGACCTAAAAAATTCCTGAGCAATTTTTGCTTTTCAGAACAGATATTCCACAGAAAACAGTCATTGGGTGCCCCCGTTAAGTCACTCATTAAACTTTTAAAATTTCTTTTGTTTTTTCTTTATGAATTATTAATCAGTTTTTGAACTCTTTTTTAAATTTCCATCCGTTCCGTATTAGTGACAATGACAAAGAAGGAAACAAACGAGGAGGGACAAAATCAATATAGTTAATCCAATTATTAAAAGCACCCTTTTTCGAAAGTAAAGGAGAAAAGTAAACAGAGAGGAAACAAGAAAACGTGAAATAAGCATAGAAGTACAAAGATTGGTCAGGCAGTAATTAGGAAGCCTAGGCAACGACGACAATGGCAAAAAGGCAATAGGTTTTGCCCTGTCTACATGTATCCGGATATTTTGATATTACGGAGATTTTACATCCGTTTTCAAGCAAATAGGCAACCAACGTAGCATAGAATCGTAGTCGCCCGTCCACACGAAAACGCTAAAACGATGGAAATACAATAGCTTCATTATTGAGCATGAGTTATGCTAGGAATATATGATGTATGACATCATCGTATTCCGAATTCGAAACCGTTTTCGTCCGTCCACACGTAAAAGAAAACCCGAGTACGTTTTCAAAAATCTCCACTCTGGAGAGCGTTATTGAAAAGGTGCCTTTTCGTTGACCGTTTTTACTGCATTAGTGAGTGCGAAAGCAGGCTGAACCGGAGAAAAAAAAAATCTGTTTTCAAACAGAAACGAATATACGTGTAGACGGGCCCTTAGATAAGTAAAACAACAACTTTGCACATGCATTAGGTATTTTTTCTACATTTCTTTGCCGTCACTGCACGACTACGAAGTGAAACTCCTTAATTTCACGTTTAAAGGAGAATGTGAACGCAAGACAACGACTTTCCTTTTCTTTTTTTAAAACTGAGATGCAGACCTTCAGAACTCAACTCGTGAAAAATTCTCTAACATTTGACAAATTTAGCGTGATGAAACAAAAGCGATGAAGTCTGAAAGAGCCCCGATGCTTTAAGTGAGGTTTTTGATGCCGTCGCCGTCATGGTTGCATGCTTAAGCTCCCTATTAAAACTGAGCACTGAACCAAGTGGTAAGTCAGTTTCCTTGCATCTTATGTACAAACCAGAATTTAGCGGCAGGGTTAGCTAAGTCGGTAGAGCGTTCGACTGCATTGAGGAAGGTCCCGGGTTCGATTCCCGGCGCCGGACCAATACTCAAGGTCTTAAAATAACTGAGAAATGAAGGTACTGCTTTTACCCTGCAAACGGGTAGACCTTCCCTTGGGTCGGATGAGCACGTAAAATGGCGGTCCCGTAAAAAAAAGTGTCCCTTATTTGTACTTTCGTGTTAAATACATTGACACTCAGAAAAAGTGCATTTTTTAATGCTGTGGTTGTCTTTTGAACTGCATGTATTGGATAAGTACTAAGAGACCAACCTTGCTTAGATCCATACACCTCCACCCTTAATGCTTTGCTGCTGTGAAATGTAACTGGATAAAAACGAATAAACTTGGCAGCAAGTGGCTCATATAGTTCACTTCTTACAATGCTGTTCTTGTCATCATTTCCAGTAAATACCTAAAAGCAAATAAACAAAAATTTCTATAAAATGCTGATGAAAGACAATATCGTCCGTTTAAGTGTGAACACCTTTAACCTTCTAAATTTTTGTGTAGCAAGGGCGTGGTTGCATTGATGCGTGTTAACTCAGCTAGGAGACGCCATACTGAATTTCAGATGAAGGAATGTTCTGCGCATGGGTAGATGGAAAAACAACTGAGAATAATTAAAATTCTCAAACTGCTTCGTGAGTTCCGTGTCCAGAAAGCGAAAATATTGAACGGTTCCGTGTCCGGCCAAATTTTTGAACCGGTCAAAAATTCGTTTGGTTCCTTTTTAACGTAGCCTTAGTCTCAGTGGCGGATCCAGACCTTACAATATGGGGGACCCCGGCCTCAAAAAAAAATTTTTTCGGCCCCTTGGGCCTCAGTTTGGTCTAAAAATAAGGGGGGGGGGGCAGCCCCCCCGACCCTACCCTGGATCCGCCACTGAGTCTCACCCTATCCGCTTACGATTAACGGGAGAAAAAAAACATATGAACAAACGATATTTCTGAGGATTGCAGCTACATTGACGATGACTCCCGTTGGCAGAACAAAAGGCAAAGGATGTTAAAAGGAAAATCAAGCCTTCGTCAGCTCCTTTCACATTTTATTACTTATCTCCCTAACGTTTCCTATATAAACACCAAGAGACCAAGGAAGGAAGGTTGTAGCAATGAGGGGAAAAAGAAAGCAAGCCCGAAGGAGGCAGGAAGAAAAGAAGGAGGAAACTAAAGACGGTGAAGATGGGAGAAGAGAGAGGAAAGCGAATGGAAGGGAGAGAAAGGGGACGAAAGCAACTTCGGCATGTGAAATCCTGTTTTCTCAAGGCTAAGAGGTAAACATAATCCTTTATTACTTAGTGTCTCCACGATTATAATTTCGCTATTACTTCACCTAGGACGAAAAAGGATGTACCTTTTCGGAACCACCCTCAGAGTAGAATGTCCACACGTCATTATCCAGGGACGTCTTTATCTTGTATGTTTTTGTCCATTGATCATTATTTGGATTTCCTTGTGTTGCTACTCCACAAACAAAGTAAAGAGATCCCAGATCGATCTGCAGGAAATCATTGTTATCATTGTTTGTGGCAGGAATCCAGGCATTGGTTCCTTTTAATCGGCCATCAGATGGATTGCGGCCGCTAAGAGATGACGAAGCTGAAAACCTCTGATTAGAAATAACGCTACTATCCGACACTCCTACTGGATCAAATACACAACCTAAAAAAAAATATATATATATTTATATAGATATAAAAGTACACAACCTAAGTTTATGAAAAAAAGGAGGAAGAATTATTATCGTGTTATTATTCTTAACGTAGAAGGTATAGGCTCAACGAACAATGTTATTGCTTTGATCTGGGGTTCCTTCCTGTTTTATTAAAAAAAACAACAACAACAACAACAACAACATAAGAAAAGTATGAAAGGGATGAAAGTATAATGGCTTCCATATTGAACTACGCCGAGTACATCCACTTCTCGTTTGTAATCTATTGTCAATTTTTGGCTTCATACAGACGTTTCGATTTCGATCCAAAGTGACTGGAAGGCTTCATCAGATACGTCTTATATTTCAGAGAATCTTTAATATGCAAGCCAACACCTTTCACGTTACTATCGTCGAAAAATTTGCATTTTTCCAAAGAGGTTAACAAATGATTCTGGTCAAATATTCCAAATTTCTTTCGAGCATTTTTTTTTTCGCAAAAGAGACCTAGGCTTAATTTGTTGTCTGATGATGTTGTTTTCTCAAAATGAGTCTTTTTAGACGATAAAAGTGTCATTTTACTATGGTCGAAAAATCTGCATTTTTTCGAAGGGGTTAACTCATGATTGTCGTCAAAAATTCCAGTTACCTTTGGCGCCTACTTTTCTGTAAGTCATCAAATACATGCAAATACAATCGAAACCATTCCAATGCCGTACCACCAATTCCAATCGACGAGAAAGGCGTGAAAGTAAGATAGAGTGATCCAAAGTCTCAAATACCGCGGAAAGATCAAGGAGCAGCAAAATCACTGATCTTTTCTGATCTAAGGCAATTGCGATATCATTATGGACACGGATTAAGACCGTCTCAGTGCTGTGAAGTTTCCTGAACGCTGATTGATATAAGACATTGAGACCATTGGCATCTAAATAATCAGTAACCTGCTTGGCAACACATTTCTCGACTACTTTAGACAGAAAACCCAACTTCCAATAAAATTCTTGAATTTACCAGAGCTCATAGATTTCTTCTTTAGCAGTGCCATAGTTTGACACTAGCCACTTTCAAATCAGTAGAAAGTATTCCAGGTTCCATTGAAAGGTTTATAATCTTAGTTATTACTGAACTGACAATTCATGATAAAAACAGGAAAAGGGGCTTAATCACAAGACTTTAAATTCATAATGTCAGGTCTCCGAAGCAAATCGCCGTAGACTACCAATTTCCTTTATCTTGTCGGGAACCCTCATTCTTCCCGTAAATAAATAGTGGAATTCTTGGCCCAAAAGAAGCGGTATTGGTTCTGTTCTTTAAATCTCTTCGCTTCGAACAACAGGTTTTGTTTTTAGGGGGTGAGGTGATCGAAGATTTTGAGTCTATCGAGAACACTATCAGCAGACAGATCGATGTTTGATGGGTTGACTTGAGAGGCACTTACTTTTGCGAGGTGTCTCACGAATTTGCAGATGGTGGGTTTCGGGGCGCCATTTTGCTGCCTCGCGGGGGCGCGATGAGCAATGTCCGACAGAAACACTTCTCTCCCCAACTCCTGGAATAATTTTACGCACAGGGCGCCTGTTTCAGATGCGGTTTCACTGCTTTTCTCTGGCAGGCCAATTATTGTGTTGGTAGCTCTATTCCTCAACCTCGTCAATGAGGTTGCCAACACGTGTAACTTCACCGTTGCGCTGATTAAGGCGTAATGCCTTGAGCTGATTAACGGCATCAGAATTAGAGGCCGACAGGTCGTCGTATTCGTCGCTCCGATATTGTAGACTACGAGACACGGTTTCATCATTCGAAGCATTATGGCTGCTATTTCCAAAGGTAGCGGTTACTTCAGCACCAGAGGTAATGGCCCAGTCGACATGAACTTACTCTTTCAGCTGTGCTATTTCCTTCGAAAGAGCGTCGACTTTATCCTTTATATCTTGATTTTGTTGCTTCAGTGAAGAAACTGTCTCGTTTGGCATAATTTCAGTGAAAACTATCCATAAAAGGACTGTGGAAAAACGACTTATTAAGGTAAGAAGTGTGAGCTTAAAATTTAACGTCCATCTTGGCTCCTGACCACTTAATCATCCATTCATACACTTCATTTTACAAGCTCAAAAAATACTCGCTTCAGATCGACCGCTGTTCCTTCATATACAGTGACGTGAGGGTGCCCAGTTTAACCTATTCGCGGTTTTAGAATGAGTGTAGTATGAATTCAAACCAAAGCTAATACTCTGACCAATCTCGACGCCGTCAAATCTAGCTAATGAACAAATCAGCTGAACTTAAAGTAAACCCATGTTGAGCCGAAACCAAAAAAGTGCGCGAACACTGAGCGAGTAGGACGTAACTCTTGATCGGCGGCGGAAAGTTAGCTACCTTGTTGTGGTTTGGGTATTGTCCGTGTCTCTTCAGTCTTTTGTATTATGTCATTTGGTGATCGCACACGTCGTCAACTCACCAAGAACTCGGGCACGAATTTCCTCATACTTAATCAATTCATATTCACTGAATTCTGCTTAAGATACAATACAGTATACACTAAAAGACGCCCCCTTATTTCTCAAGGTTTTCCCGGCTGATTATCGTGGACAATATTAAGAATGATGTAAAGTAACAAAAAATACAATGCACCTTACCTTAGTAAAGTTAAATTTAAGGAAATTTAAAATATTTTACACTGTTGAAACTGTTGTTACCAACTGAATTCCCTTGGTAAGAAGAATTTATCACATAACTGTATCAAATTAGGCAAACACCACAAAAGAAAAATGAACAGATTGATTAAAAAAATACAGAAACGTTTTATATGTGAACTATACAAAACGATTTTTAAAACTGATTACTTTTTTAGTAAAAGGCAAAAGATACACACACAAGCATCATGCATACCTATAAAATAAACAGGAGGAACGAAAAGCGCTCTTACTTTCTGTTTTAAGATAGGAATAAACTTCAACCTCGCAGAGCGTCAACCACATTTTACGGCTAGGCAATCTGATGTACAAATATCTGCCATATGCTTTGGGACTACAGGAATATGTCTTGGAACTTCCTGCTGGGATTTGTATCTTATTTGCACAAAGACTGTTGTCTGCTCCTCCACTTGCTGTTTTATTTCCTTGCAAAGCGAATAAAAGAAAATATGAGGTAACATTAACTGCAGTATTTGAACACAATTTATGTACAATAATAGTTGAAAAGGTAACAAAGAAACGATCTTGGCATTCACTTCAAGATCAGGGGAGTGCTGCAATCTCACTTGCAAAACCTTTACATTGATGTAGTAGTAGTAAACCTTTATTTAACTAGGGTAATCCCTTCAGAATACTTAAAAGTATATCTGTTATCAATAGGAGCCCTATGTATGTATTGGCTCACTCAAATAGAATCTGTGGGAATTTGACTTTACATGAACGTAACCATGTAGGAGGAAACTGCTTGTAACGGATCGGCGCCCGAAAAGCCTTAAGAACCAACTTGTTCGGGTTCGACGCGATAAATTACGTACGATTACGGGGATGTACTTTACGGACGCTCTCCTTGAATCAATCTTAATTTATCACAACATCCACGAATCCAAGATCACATTGTAAACTGAAACAATAACAATATGTATAGGTAATTGCATGATTTCGACCACAATTTGGGATAAATCAGAACAAGCAAATTTTTCAAAGACCAACCAAATTGCACAAGCCCCCAGGGCGGGTGCAATTTGTGGTCTTTGAAAAACTTACGAGTGCTGTTTTAGCTCAAATTGCACGAGAAAAATCATGTGATTAGTTGTTAATAATATGTCACCTCGGAGCGTTTGTCATAGTTTCCTCTTCCCGCCTACAAGTGACAATCTCGACCAAGATTGGTCAAAATTTTGACAGGCGAATATTGATGGATAAAAACGCAGCAGCTAGAAATTTGTTTATAGAAAACTAAAGCCTTTTGTCATTCTGGCTGATTTTGCGTCTTTAATTCGCCATGTTTTTCCACTGCCGCGACGGAAATATAAACATCTGCTAACAAGATTCCTTTGTTGTACAGGGGCGGATCCAGAATTTTTTCAAAGAGGGGGTTGCAAGTTTGATCGAGAGTTCAAGGCAAACGTCCCAGGGCCAAGGAATGGGGGAGGGGGGAGGCTGCGAATTGGGGAGGGTGGGGAAGATTAGGGTTATGTTTGAATATGTAGATTTTCTTCATTTTGTTTCAGAGGAATTTGAGGCACCATTACTAACGGTAATAGGACTGAGTGGTGTATGACACGAAGTCCTATCCCCTATTAATTGTGCCAATAACAAAATGCGACAATCTCAGTTTTGGAATATTTATTAATGTGAATAAAAGTCAGTGGACCAGTTAGTTTCATCCATTTTTCTTTTCCACTTGAAGTTGGACAGCTTACCTGGTCACTATTTTTTCATTGATTTTGATTGGTTATCGTGTGCTATGTGGTCAAATGGCTTGTGGCATTTGCTACTTGGTTTTCATTGGTTCTTTAACTGTCCGATTTGACCTGTCCGATAACAAGCTTCTGGTAATCGGACAGGTCAAATCAGACAGTTTTCAGAGACAGAGACAGAGCGTTCTTGGATGAGCCTTTACAAAGGCTTCGCATTTCTCGTCTACCGTACCTCGAATCTCTCGGAGTAGTGCATGACGATCACTGCGAGATCAGAGAATCGCTCCATTGTTGACCTAGAGCAGGTCTTGATTCATTTCATCAGTGAAAACGACAACTCAGCTTCTCCGCTTGTGATCGTTAGGGGCAGGTAACGACCAGAAGGTGATAGATGTTTGGAAATGTACATTCGTAAAGTGCTAATAAAAGGTTGTTTAGAAGCTCCCTATCTGTTGACTGCCAGAGTGTTTTCCATCTTCGTACCTCATTTCCAAGGGATTTCAGAAATGGAATGTCTTTCTCCCAGAACAGTGCGCCTTTTACTTTATCCGATCCAGGTGCAGTGACGTATTTACTATAATCGATGGCACGAGACAAAGCAGATGGTGGGCGTGGCGATCTTCGTCACAAAATCGATCTTGCATTTGGATAATTAAGGAGTCAATTCAAGAAGAGGAATAGCAACAGTCTTCTTGTAATGACCGATTGGACTGGAACTTAAAATATAACTTATAATATTATTATTGGTATGAAAAAGGGATAGACATGGGTAACCAGACAAGTTTAAAAAACTTCCCAAAGAGGGGGTTGCAACCCACTCAACCCTCCCCCTGGATCCGCAATGTTGTGGTTTGTTTATTTGGGTTTTGGTTGAGGAAAGCGTCGCAACTGTGGTTCGATTGATGGCTGTTTTTAGAAGAAATTTCATGCAGGCTTTCACAGCAGAGTAACAGAGAAAACTAAAGCGTTTCTATGCAAATCTCACTTACTAGCTTTCAGGAGTTGCATCCCAAGTGAGTTTGAGTTATTACATGTTTTTTTTTTGTCTCGTTTAACGGCGGGCATAACTATTTTAATTTTCTTACGGTCATGACTCGGTAGATAAATTTGAGACGATGTATGGCCTCGTGTTGAAAATACACAAGCTTTTTTAAACAGTTTTCTGACTGTAAATAAAAAAGGAGTTGTAAAGAAAACTTAGTGTTTTTGTTTTAAGACATTTTTCATGTTTGATTGTCAGTCAAGAATTTTGCAATTTGTTATATGGCTTTTGTTTCTTGTGGTTTCTTTCTTGGTGTGTGGATCAAAATGTCGCGTGAAAGAAGCTGCTGAAATCAGAATGGCTTTATGGTTACATGGCTTGTGATTTACGTCTGTTTGTACGTTCTTCATCTTTACCGAAAAAAAACAAATTACATAAAGAAGTTGTCGATTATTCTACTGACAGACCCTTAACTCACCTTAGCTGACATTCAATTTAATTTCAACTTTCTGCACTCAATTTCAACTCAAGTCTATTTGCACACAAAAAACTTCAACTTTCTGCACTATTTGGGATAAATTGACGTGCTCTCAGCCAATGAGCGTGCTGAAATACGGGTGCAGTAGCATTCTAATCATTCCACTGATACATAGTGAGCTAAATCAGAAGTACGACGCACGATAATCCAAAATCTAAATATTACGCCACAAAGGCTAAATGGATAGACAGTAAGAGTATTGACCAATAATCCACAAAACCATATTATCAAGCCATGCAACGTGAACAAAACTTGAATTTGCAAGACTGCGGTTAAAACTAGCGAAAATACTAAACAAAATCTTAAACTTAAATTTACTGAACCTTAGAAGAGAGTAACAATCACTTACATAACAGTCCCGCCTTGCCGATCCTCCAGAACTTTCAGTATTCTTACTTCTTACTTGACTGATACTCCTGATGAGTCCAGTAGCAAGACAAAGGCCAACTAACTAAAACACGGTTTCAGGTAAGACTATAACTATTTTGGAATCACGTGTAAATTATCAGCCTAGCGGAAATACATAAGATCAAAAGATTAAATCCGGCTCTGAAGGAGGCAATCAAAGCCGTTACAATTGAATGCTAATGATATTAAATACATGTACACTTTTACAAAACACAGTGGTCACTTTCACATACTTTTCTTCTGTGAAATCTTAACATAAAAGCCAATGGAAAATAATTTCAGTTAATTCAAATATTTCAAAATCAACAAGGAACACTTTTGAACAAGGTAAAGCAACTGATCACAGCATCTCCCACACTTATTACCTACCCACTCTTATCTCAGCTCCATCCAATCTGGCTGCGTTTGAGTCTCTGTTGAGTATATTCACTTCAGCTACAGGCTCTACTCGCCCCAGGTCTACTCTCCACCAAGGACTGTTTTCTTTTCGAGTGTGTGTACATTTTCCGATGTATGTGCCCCTATTTCCATCCACTGCATTGCTAGCAGGGTAGGATTTCGAAAGCGAATCACTGTATTCAGTTGACTGATTTGTTGGCTTGAAAAGGGCAATATTGCTCTGATCTAAAAACCAAACGAATAATAAAAATTACGGATAAACGAAGCAGGGTTGCAGGCTTTGCTCTCCCCAGCTCCTGGAGACAACTAGGTCCTTACTTCTGCTCTTGGGCGACTAGAAAATCTCAGCTACAGAGCACTGGGCTGCATAGAATTATTCTTAGAGCACAGCCTTAAACAAAGGAAAATCAAGTACTGAAGGTTTTCCTAAATCAACTTGTTAATGTTCAAAGTACATGTACAGTTGTATATGTAGTGTGCCTGCACTGCAGTATAAAAAAATGGTCTTGCCAAGTATTGATCGGTGACTGTTAAAATTCCAACCTCTTAATTTTGACAGGTTGGTCACAAACTAGCTTGCAAATACATCTAGCCACCTCTCTTCATTCCTTGCCAATGAAGACCTTTCACAGGAAAGACATCTGCAAAATGGCGCCCAAATTTCCATATTGATGAATGAATCAATGTTTACAAAATTAATCTTGTAGTCATGGGGTTCTAGCTAGAAAATTATTTGTCTTAAAGTCCTTTCCTGGTCTATTTGCAGCAGCACAACTCAAATTCTTCTTGTAAAGAAGATTATATTCCATGAATAATGACTTTTTTAGTTGATTCATGGCATTTACTGTACTGTACATCTTTGTGACCTTTTGTATTTTTCCGTCATTCGTAAACAATAACTAAAAGAATAGAATGACAACTTTGACCAATCCCTGTTCGTTGACTAGATTCCAGACAAATCTACATATGAGATCAATATAAAATCTTTGGGGCAAAATTGCAGACCTCTTTCCTGCGAAATGTCTCTAGTGGCAAGGAGTGAGGAGAGACTATGCCATACAGTGAATTACTTGCAAAGACTGTATTTTAACAAGATTTTTGAAAAGAATGAAAAAGATAATGGTTCAAGAGTTGATGTTGTTGCAAAAAGGAAAAAGATCTTTTCAATGATGCGAAGGAAGGAAGGTTCCACAACAATTTCTGAACAATTTCTGCAATTAGAAATATCAAACCTCTGCTTCTAGGTATGCCAGAGACTTCTACTCGTAAACAAGCTCCACTATGTGTAGACCCAACAACAAAACGCAAGTATCTGGCAACAAATGCACTGAACAAGATCTGTTTTTCTACTGAGTTCTGATCGTAGTTTCCATTGAAGGTCTGGAAAAAAAAAAATTAAAATTGAACAAAAAAAAGGCTTATCATTTAGATGGTAATTTTTAAAGTAGTAAAGGTAGAGTTCAGTGTATTAAACCCAGGGCTGTCACTAAGATTTCAAGTTGCAAGATATATGCAAATTATAGGTAAGGATTTGAACAGCAAGGAAATTCTATTGGTTCAGTCTGATTTCGTTTTGTTTCCTATGAAAGTAGCCAGGGGTCATACTGGTATGTGGTAGGACATAGCTAGGAAATTGCTGGTCCCTGGCTCTTAGTGACTTTCCTGTGAACCCAGTGGGGTATCAACCTCACACTCCCCACTCCCCGCTTCTGGATTCAATTAGCTTCACCCGACATGGCATTTCTCCCTTAAATAACAAACTTTGCTCCTTTACACGCCTGTAATTCTTCTACCTCAATATATAAGTGTGATGAAGGTAACCTTTGAACAGACTAGCATTCCAGTCACAGGGGAGAAAAAAATTGTAAAAAATTGTATTTGTAAATTGTAATTTGTTTACCCACGGAGCACTAAGGAGTTCATAAGAACTCGTTGAAACATGTCCGTGCGTTCCAGATCGAATTGGAATTTGAAAGTGTTGGTTTTTAAGGAGAGGGGAAAACCGGAGT